CAGGTAACAGCAGTGTCGGCTCAAGTCCTGTAAGGAAGAGAGAAAGAAAAAATGAATTAATATTATTAGTTTATTTATATATTTATTTTCACTCTCTTCTTCTCCTTCTCCTTCTTCTTCTTGTTTTTCTTCTTCTCCTCCTACTTCTCATCTCCTGCTTCTCCTTTCTCTACTTATCTACCTATCACATCCCACTATCTTCGTATTTTCAAAACCAAAAGAAAGCCATTTGAAATATAATTCAAAAAAGGAAATATTCATCACTTTCTCTGTTTTCCTTCCGCTAGACAAAGGACTGGGGACGCGTTAAGAGTCAAAATCCTTTTTACCGAAAAGCGATGAGCGACCGTAATGACATGACTTCCTGGACGAAAATCACCTGGTCGTAATACGTCGGGAAAGATGTTGAAATGATATGAAGGTATATGCATATATGTATATATATATGTGTGTGTGTGTGTGTGTGTGTGTTTGTGTGTGTGTGTGTGTGTGTGTGTGTGTGTGTGTGTGTGTGTGTGTGTGTGTGTGTGTGTGTGTGTGTGTGTGTGTGTGTGTGTGTGTGTGTGTGTGTGTGTATACATATATATATATATATATATATATATATATATAGAGAGAGAGAGAGAGAGAGAGAGAGAGAGAGAGAGAGAGAGAGAGAGAGAGAGAGAGAGAGAAAGAGATAAAGAGTTTATGGTACAGACTTATCTTATCAATTATACACCTTATACACATCCAACACACACACATACATACAAACAAACATAAACACGCAACGACCACTCAGTATCACCCTAACCTCATACCACATTTTTAATCCCGCAAAAGCAAATTACTAATCCACTTTGATATCATGAATTAAGACTCCTTTTTGATCACTTAACATGTCCTAAACACGATGTCCGACCCAGAGTTTATCAATATGACTTTTGTGGCCTTTTGTTGGTCGAGTGTTTTCAGGTTGTTTTTCTTTGTTGGGAAAGAGAGAGAGAGAAAGAAAGAAAGACAGACAGACAGAGAGGGAGACTGACAGACAGATGGAGAAACAAAGAGAGAGAAAAAAGAAAGTGAGTGAGAGAGAAAGAAAGACAGACAGACAGAGAGGGAGACTGACAGACAGATGGAGAAACAAAGAGAGAGAAAAAGAAAGGGAGTGAGAGAGAAAGAAAGACAGACAGACAGAGAGGGAGACTGGCAGACAGATGGAGAAACAAAGAGAGAAAAAAAAGAAAGTGAGTGAGAGAGAGAGGAAATGAGAGAGAGAGAGAGAAAGTGAGAGAGAGAGAGAGAGACAAACAGACAGACAAAAAGACAAATAGAGAAAGAAAAAGAGAGAGGGAGAGGGAGGCAAAGAGAGAGAAAAAGAGAGAGAGGGGAGGGGGAGCAGACAAACAGATAAAGACAGAAAGAGAGAGAAAGAAAGAGAGAAAGACAAAAAGAAATAGAGTGAGAGAGAGAGTGTGCATGCGAAAGAGAGAAAAAGAAAGATAGAAGAAGAAGAAAAAAAAGAAGAAAGAAAAGCAAAACCTTATGCATACATACACGCGCAGACACACACACACACACAAACGTACACCAACTTCAACATGCAAATCCAGGTTCAATATTGCAGCCATTAAATCCCTGTCTAAGTGGTCTTCTATGCCTTTTACTCTTCCAAGTGTATGCTTTGTATTGTATACTTAAGAGGAGAATAAAATAAACCGCTGCATGACAACAAGCAGAGAACGAAGTTAAAGAAACAAAAAAGGAAAAAATATCGACTTTTTTTTCTTCTTTTTCTTTTTGTTCAAAAAGGTGTAGATAAAAGTACAGAATAAATAGAATAATGATATATCTAAATAGTGAATCTTGTTCTGTTAGAACAAGAATGCCAATGATTGCAGAAAGACACAAACAAAGAGAGAGAGATAGAGGGAGAGCGAAGGAGACAAAGAGAAAGAGAGAGAGACAGACAGACAGACAGACAGACAGACAGACAGACAGACAGACAGACAGACAGACGGACGGACGGACAGACAGAGACAGAGAGAAAGAGAGAGAGAACGTGCGAGCGAGCGAGCGAGCGAGAGGGAGAGAGAGAGAGAGCGAGAGAGAGAGAGAGCGAGAGAGAGAGAGAGAGAGAGAGAGAGAGAGAGAGAGAGAGAGAGAGAGAGAGAGAAAGTTTAAAAAGAGAGCAAACCCAGCAGGCAACGAAGCACAAAATTCGAGAGACCACAAACCCCCCGCGCGCGTGGGTGGGTCTCATCTCTGCCGTAATCTCTGTTTTGATTAAGATTACTCAATCCATCCCATTTCTTTTTTTTTTTTCTTTTTTTTTTCCTTCTTTTTTTTCCAGGAATACAACATTTCCCAGAAGCGACTCTTTCCACGACCTGCTGTGTGTGTGTGTGTGTATATAGGACACGACCTTTAGCCAGCCAACCCCCAGTTCTTGTTACTGCTCGAAGAGTGATCCCTCAGAACCCGATCTCTGAGGCTTCTTCTGGGAGCTGGATGCTGTAGCTGGAATCCGCACCGGAAGGAACTTTCTTGGAATTTAACTTGATCCTGGAAATTTCGACGGGAATTTGAGTTCATTCCGACTTTTTTTTTTGAGGGTGGGGGAGGGGGAGGGGGAGGGGAGGTTAGGACCATTTTTTTTTTCTCCCAAATTTGAGTCATTCATTATTGTTTATCAAAGAAAATTTTTTTTTTCTTTTTTTTTCTTTTTTTGTTGGCTAAGCTTGAAGTGTTTTATTTTCCTCCCATGTTGAATATCTATAGGAAATTAAAACCCAGAGAAAAAATATCGTTTTTTTTTTAACAAATAAAGCTACGTATAAGAGTGTTTCGTGCGTCTTTCCCGCTGAAGAGTTGCCTCCCACGCACCTTTGAATCTTACCACGGGAACATATTCTTCTAAAAAAAAATCCCAACTTCTAAGACCGTTAAATAAACATTGTAAAAAATATATATATATACATATACAATCAACCTTATTCGATCTCCAAAACCTTTAATAAAAATTCGACCGAGATTTTTGCAAAGCAGTCGAAAGAAAAAGAAATGAAACGGAAAAGAGTCTCAGAGCAGGCCGCCGGTCGAGTAGGTTGGGGGGGGGGGGGGGGGAGCCTGAGAGAGGAAAGCGGGGGAGGGGAAAAGGGGAGGGGGAGAGGGGAGAGGGGAGAGGGAGGGAGAGGGAGAGCTGATATTATTGATGTTACAAACCTGCAAACCAAAAGGTCAGATTTACCTGTGGTTTGTAGGTAATAAACCCGAGTTGCGTGGTATGGATTTTTGGCGCTATTGATGTTGTTCTCGAGTCAATTATTATCCCTTTTCTTTTTCTTTCTTTATTACTCCCCCTCTCCCCCATCCCTCTCTCTTTATTATCTCTCTCTCTCTTTCTCTCTCTCTCCTTCCTCCCCCTCCGTCTCTCTCTCTCTCTCCTCAACCCTTCCTCTCTTTGTACAGGATTCGGACCATAGCTTGTACAGAGAGAGTACATGTGTGAGTAGGATGGTCTTTGTGCTGTGCATGTGCCAGTTTTCCGAGTGCCTGTATGACAAAGAACAAAGGAAGAACAAAGGAACGAGGAACGGGATGATAAAATACGTGCGTGGAACAGATGCAGAACTTGTCTCCTTCATGACTCTTCTTCCTCTTCCTCCTCTTCTTCTTCTTCTTCTTTCTTCTTCTTTCTTCTTCCTCCTCCTCCACGCTACTTCCTTCTTCCTTCTTCCCTCTCCCTCAGCGCGAGAGCACTTCCTCTTCCTCCTTCGTCTTTGCTTCATTATCTTCCTCCTTTCTGATGTCGCTCTCCCCAGCCCCCCTCCCCCCTCTCCCCCCTCTTTCCTCTCTCGTCATCACCACCTTCTCCTCTTCTTCTTTCTTCTCTTCTTTGCGCATGTTTCTCCTCCTCTTCTCTCCTCTTCCTCCTCGTCTTCCTCCTCGTCTCCTATTCCTTGAGCATAAGTCCTTTTCCTCTTCCTTCGTCTCCTCCTCTTTCAGCGTGGGATTTTTTTTTCCTCTTCTTTTTTTTTCTTCTTTTTCATCATCATCTTCTTCTTCCTTCACCTCCTCCTCCTCCTCCTTCTCCTCCTCCTCCTCTTCTTCTCCTCCTCCTCCTCCTCCTCCTCCTCCTCCTCCTCCTCCTCCTCCTCCTCCTCCTCCTCCTCCTCCTCCTCCTCCTCCTCCTCTTCCTCATTCCCCTCCTCAACCACCTCTCCTTCTTCTTCTTCTTCTTCTTCTTCTTCTTCTTCTTCTTCTTCTTTTTCTGCAAGAGTCCGGAAGGAGATGATAATGATGACGTTGATGATGACGATGACGATGACGATGACGATGATAATGACGATGACGATGACGATGACGATGATAATGACGATGACGATGACGATGACGATGACGATGACGATGACAATGACGATGACGATGATAATGACGATGACGATGACGATGACGATGATAATGACGATGACGATGACGATGACGATGAAGATGAAGATGAAGTTAACGATGACGATGATAATGACGATGACGATGACGATGACGATGAAGATGTCGATGACGATGATAATGACGATGACGATGACGATGAAGATGTTTGACGGTAGCGATGATGATAATGAAAGTTGTGTTGGAAATTCATATGGTTGTTATTATAAAAGTTTGTTTTTTATTAAAGTTTAAGACATAACGAATCTTGGAAAGAAAAAAAACACTAATATTTTGGGAAGAAGCTTTGTTACTAATGTTCTCAATGACAAAGAATGATCCGTGTTCATAAAGTGCTATGTGCTTGTCCAATCAATATAGATAGACTGACAGGTAGATAGATAGTTTAAAAAAAATAGTGATAGATAGATAGATACGGATATAGATATATAGATGTTTGAATTTAAGTAAATATAAGCATCACATGATATCTACAATAATTATGAATAAAATGAACAATGAATATACATCATAAGAACTATATTTAAGATTTTAAGTGCACGTAAGTATCAAAAGAAAGTTATGCTAATGACGATAATGAATTAATCGAACAA